AGAAAGGAGTTGTTCTTAATCAATGAAAATATGTATTAGATCTTCTTGCAGGGATTGGATTGAGTGGGTGTAAACCCCTTTTCCTACCTATGGCTCAAAATTTGAGGCTTCTAGCATATGATAAAGGCAAAAACAAACCTGGAGATCTGTTAGGGAATCCAGAGAGATACAGGCGATTGGTAGGTAAATTAATATATTTAACTGTCACTCGCCTTGATATCTCTTTTCCTATGTAGGTTCTTAGTCAATTTATGCAAACACCAATGAAATCTAATATGGCAGCAACTCTTGGTGTGCTGAGATACCTGAAACAGTCTATAGGAGTTGGGATATTACTCAATATGGGGGGTGTTTGAATGAAACCAAACCATGGTTTGAAGAATAGCTTCTGGAGAATAGATTTTGGAAAGAATAGATTTTCTGAAGAATATATTTTGTGAAAAAATGATTCTAAGAAGTGAGAGTGTTTGGATAGTTGTTACCAGAAGCATTTTTTATATGTGCAAATTACTAAAAAGGGCATAAGTCAATATAAAAATTATATAAAGGATAGATTTTATAATATATTTTGATTTGAAGGAATAAAATTGTTAATAAAATAATTTTTACCAACATAATTAATAATATATAAGATAATATAATTAATAATTAATTAATATGTATATATATTTATAAATTATAAGATTAAATATGTTTATAGAAAAATGATTATTTTTTTCTAATAGAAAAATATTAATTTGCTTTAAAGATTTTAAACATGAAATTCTATAACATTTTTTCACAACTAGTTTTTATAATAACATACTACCTCTCATCTTTAATATAATTAATTAATTATTACTACATGTGTAAAAATATTTATAAAATATAAGATTAAAAATATTTTTGAAAAAGATAAATAATTTTTTATAAACAGAAAAGAAATTTTAAAAAAAGTACAATGTAACAACATACTACCTCTTTCTGGTTTTAAAAAAGGAAAAAACATACCACCTCTCTAAACAGTGAAGGACCGGAAGATTGAAGCTTGAGGGACATATGTGTCTCGTCTCAAAAAAAGATCCTCATATCCATATGACACTCCAATTTTTTTCCAAAAGCAAATTCAAAATGATTTTTCCAAAACCATGGTTTTGATTATTTTTACGGGTGTTTGGGTTATTTTTTCCTCCAAACCATGGTTTGGGAAGACACCCAAACACGCCTATAGAGGAGGATTTGAGTCTGAAGTATTGTTGTGATTCAGATTGGGTAGCTTGTCCTACTACAAGGCGTTCAGTTACTAGGCATCTTTTGAAATTTAGAGGTTCCTTGATTGCATGGAAAACCAAGAAACAAAACATTGTGTCCAAATCATTTGCAGAGGCCGAATATAGGGCCCTGGGAGCAGCTGTATTAGAAGTGGTCTGGATTGTTGGGTTATTAAGAGATTTAGGAATTAACCATACAAATTTGGTTAAGGTATATTGTGATAGTATGGTAGTGATCCATATAATTCAATTTTTCATGGACGAACTAAGCATATAGAGATTGATTGTCACTTTATAAGAGAAAAGGTGAGTAATGGATTGATTAGCCTACAACATGTAAAATCTGGAAACCAAGAAGCAAATATTTTGACTAAACCAATAAGCAAGGAGATTCAAACAAGACTTTTCAACAAATTAGGAACTGTAAATTTGTTCAGTCCCAAACTTAAGGGGGAGTGTTAAACATCTTGTATAGTTTATAGATCTTTTAGTTATTTAATTGTTTTGGGTCAAACTTGATGGGGAGTGTTAAACATCTTGTATAGTTTATAGTTCTTTTAGTCATTTAATTGTTTTGGGCCTTAGCCCATTATGCCTATCTGTTCCGTATAAATGGATCCTTTCAGGTCCTGAACTCTTGTTCAGTCTTTTACAATGGAATAATATGAAATTTTTTCATATTGTTTGCTGCATACTATTCATCAAGCATATTTTACGTAAATTAAGATAAAACTTCTCTCATATACTTACTTTATATTTTATAAATTGTGATTAAAAAACTGCTTATAGCTATTTCAAATGGACCTACAAAGCTTTGTTTTTGAGAAGGAAAAAATAATTGGATATGTCAAATACCCTGCTTAGTGGATTTGAAAGAAAAGATAGATTCTTCCGAAGTTTCATACTTCTGCGTTTTGGTGATTCTCCATGTAGCTTCATTTGTCTTCCCGTGCCAGTCCATGGCGGTTCTTACGGCTTGCCTTTAAAAAAAAAAAAAAAGTTTGCAAATTGGCAAGTAAATTAGGGATTTAGCATAAGGGATGAATTAGTAAATAAAATTTATTTTAATATAATTTTAAATTTAAAAAATATATTTTAAGAATATTTTAAGAATATTCTTGACGGTGTTAATAGATTGGATCTAAGTGTATATTTTTAAAATAGTACCATATGCTCTCCAAAATTTCCAAGATGCTTCTATATCATCAAATTTAAGATTAAGTGTAGCAGTCAAATTTATTGCCATGGTTTAAGCCTCCTGTAAAATTGAAAAATATATAATGTTAATTAATAATAAATGAATAAAATAGTTACAAATTATATACACACAAATAAATATATTAAATGAGGCAGAATATATACACACACAAAAACAAATCTATTAACTAAACAGAACATACACACAGTCCTGAAACTCCCTTGAATTCAATTATTTTAATCTATCTGTCATTAAAATATATACACATGTTTGCACGGTATGTTGCCCATTCGGGTGATTTGTTTTCTTTTTTTTTTTTTGACTTTTTAATTCGAATACTCACACACACATGAAGACAACATGTAAGAAAGAGGTGAAAATGGTGCTTTTCCATTGCCATATTTTGTTATAAGCACCTCCAATATGGTTTTCTCCTTGGTCCTTAGAAACCATCGAAAAGCTCAGCACCGAATGCGAACGCGGAAACCATCATCGTCGTCGTCATTTCTTTTGGTAAAAGACAATTTTATACCATCGTCGTCAAAGTTTTCAAACAGATTGGGACTTGGGAGCATCGATCTGCGAGAAAACCCTTCATAGATTCGATCTGCAAGAAAACCCTTTCATAGATGCGATCGTCCATGGGTCGCACCAATATTTCCCCCAAATAATCAAGTCATTATATAATGACCTAATTCCAAATTAATTCAAAAGCATTAATTTGTCGGCCTCCTTGAACAGAGAAGATGAATGCAGAGATGGTACGAGCATCGCTGCAACGTGTGGCCATGTTTATGGCGAAGCTAGTGAACCCAGTGTTGTCGCCGCCGTGGTCGGCGCTGTCGCCGTCACTGTCGGCGGCTGATCACCAGAGTGTGTATGCTCTTGGCGGCAGCTTAGCTGTGGGACCAAACAACAATAGCCTTCCATGTCAAACACTGCTAGTGCTGATGAGGTCTTTCAGGGTTTCCTTTAGTAATTAATTTTGCTTTTTTAATCCGCTAACCAACAAGAATTTCTCAAATTAAAATTAATGCTCATCATGCATTTTATCTACATACACACGCGTGTTGGCTAAGAAAATGCATATATATGTGTGTGTTTAAACTTTGATTAAGTTTTGTACTTAATGTGGAATGTTTCATATCTACACAGACATGTATGTATGCTACACTCGTCTTTATTATTTGCTATTTTTAGTAGAATATTTTAATTCTTTTTATCTGTCACTTGTACTCTTTTTAATGTTTCATTTTTAATTTTAGCCATCTTAATTATAAAGATGAACAGAGAGGACATGAATCAGGAAAAATATACTGCCTATTTAATAAGAGTGAAAATAAAATATTTTATTTATTTACTGTTCTCGTTAGTATATGAAATTTTTTTACAAATAACAAATAAAAAAAACCAAAATCATAAGTGTGTGTTGAAACTTTAAGTTTTATACTTAATTGGGATTGTTTACATCTAACTTCAAAGGTCAAAATTTATATATTTTTTATTTTTACTTTTTGTGAAATGATTATTTTATTGATAGTAAAATTTAAAATAAAGATAATATTTTAATTTTCAGTTTTTATTTAAAAATATTTTTATTATTTAAAAACTATTAATTGAAAATTTTAAGTTTAAATCATGAAAAATGTTTTTTTTTTGCCAGCCATGAAAAATGTATTTAGATGGCACAGATTTTATCATTGCAATAACAACCGAAACTAGGTCCTAAAATAAAGGGCACGGGACATATAATTTAATTAAATTACTGAATCATTTTCCCCCATTTTGCAATTTTGATTTAATTTATTAACACTAATTTCTCAAAACATACAACTTAATAAAGACCTATTTAATTAATTTAATTATATTTAAAAAGTTAGGTAAATTGGTTAATTATAAAAATATGACATATTTTTTTTAACATACCATAATCATTTTTTTAATATTATTATTTTCTTATTTATTTGATTATGGTTAATAGAGTATTCATAAGGGTAATTTAAAAAAATTGATAAATATAATAAACAAGTTTTATATTTGGGATTAAAATTAATTTAATAATTAGGTCTTATATTAAGAATAGGAAGAATACTTATTAATATACTACCTCTGGTTCTAATTGTAAGAGTTAGTTGACTAATTTAAGAAGATTAAAGAAAGAAGTTAAGTTAGTTATGTGTAATAAATAAATGTTGTCTGTCTTGAAATATCCTTACCAATCAAGTGTATTGACTAGAACTATCACTATTAGAAAAACTGTCTTAAAAAAATACATAAATATAAAAAATAAAATATATTAAGATTTTATATTTAAAATCAAAATAAAAATCAAATAAAATTTTATATTAATAACAGTAGCATATCTTTTAATTTTAGACAAATAAAATGGAAGGGGGGGCTCCGCTGCAGGCCGCAGCTGCTTCGTGCTTTTCACGCGCTAGAAAGGGCACGTGATCCCCTCTCTGATCATGTGATCTGACTTCGCCTTTTGTTCTTCGCAGCAACCAAGGAGGAAGGAATAGCCATAGCCATAGTTGCTTCTATCCAGGAAGACCAGTTTCTTATACTGTGTTCTTCTTTAATGTCAATATCTTCAATTTCTCCAGGGAATTCTTTTCCTCCAATTTCATCTTCGCTCCCTTGCTTCCAATTCTACTCAATTACCTTCAGATACAAAGTTCAAGGACTTCCATTGCTTCTGTCATATGTACATTAGCATATTATTTGGCTCTGGCTGCTAAGTTCTTGTTTCCTGGTTTTGCTTCTCAGTTTGAAGCCCTCATGACCGTGTTTGGCTCTCTGGCTCTCGCCACTCTGGTATCTTTGGCTCTGCAGCTTCCGTGGTGGTCCATTTTCTTTATTCTATTATTCATAGGAGGCTTCTTTAAGTTGCTCAATAAACTTCATGCACCATATGGCAATACACGTCATCCCCGTCCAAGAACGATGCAGCCACTCCTCGCATTGTATAATGTTATATTCAATCGATAGTGGAAAGTACTGATTCAGAAGAATTGAAGAATACTAGTTACCTAAATTTAGGTATTTTCATGTACCTTTTGTTTTGCTTCCTTTTTCTTGTCTATTCAAAGGCTATCTTACATGTTTGTAGCAGTTGTAATCCAGTTGTTATTCTAGTGGAAAATACGTCCAACACTCGTTTTTTTATATCCTTGAACCAGGTTTCTCCATCCATGTATTGTTCAATTCTGGTCTCATTTTTCCTCACCCGAACTTTTGATACCGCTCCTTTTTGGCATTATCCCAAAACATAGAATGCTCTTGGCTTTCAAAGAGCCTCCGGTGGCTTTGTCCCTCTTCCTATCAAACTACCAAATGCGGATTATGTCCTTCTGATTGATAGCTGGTTTATTCGAAATGAAAAAGTTAGAAATTCTCGTGTTAATGTCTTACAATTTTGGTTTACTTTGCTCGTATTGCCGGGAGAGGTTCGGCCTCATTGGTTTCTTCTTCTTGTTTTTTTTTTTTTTTTTGGTGTTTCTTGTAAATGTTAGGTCCTGCGAGCAAAACTTGATGTTGGAAGGGGCCTTACATATGCAATACGGCTCTTGTACCTGATGTTATCGACTATGAAACGGTAAACTTGCACTTTTCTGGGTAATGTCTTGGACGAGTTTAAATATTGATTGGGATAAAAAAAAAAAAATAGATTACCAGATTTGTGTTCATAATGTGCGATGTTGAACTTCTTTGGACTTTTAGATTTCAGAATCATCAATCAATATAGGGGAAGCCTTCTGAATTACTGAACCTTTCTCCTTTCATCTACCATGGTCATCGGTTTCAATGCAGAATTTGTTACTCTTTAGTCAAAAAGCTGCCGCTAGCCAGTTGCCACTCTGGATTTATTTTGGGAACACTGTAGAATATTGTTGAATTCAAAATTATTTCAAGTCCACTTTGAAATATGAAGCAGCATGATCATATGGAGAACTTATCGCATTTCATACTTCGTAATCTCCCCCACTCTCTATGTTTATCTATATCAGTTAATGTTTGTTTCTTTATTGTGTTCTGTTTTGTTTTGTTCTCTCTACTTCTCTTCTCATCCCTCTGTGAGTGTGTAGGTGTGGCTGTTATGAAGGTTTGAGACTGTGCAGGGATCCACATCTGCAGATGGGAAGACAACACCTGCCATTGGCTGGGCAATGCAATCAGAAGGACACTGGTTAATATGGTTTTGATATTTTGTTTACAAAGTTGCCTTTGTTTTTTGGGTTCTGCCTTTTTGTTTAGCAAGTTACTTTCCTGGCTGGCATTATGAAAATGGCTTTTCTACGGTGGGGAAATTCTAGTCTCGTGTTTCATCTATGAATTCCTCTCCATATATTTATCGATGCTGTAGAAATGGGAAAGCTCATCAGCTTTGTCTTGTAATGGTTGGACAAGGGACATTGTTCAGAAAGCCTTTTGGTTATGATCTGATAAAGGACTATATTTCCTGGTTTTATGATTAAGTCTTTTATCTACATCTAAGAATACTGAAACATAGTCTAATTATAAAATGGAAAATTTTATGCAAATTGGCCTCTCATGTATGTACATTTAAACTCTTATGTCTGTATTAGCAACTTATGCAGGGCCTTTCACTATCATAGGGTGGTTACAGATATTATGCAGGACCATCTACTTCAAATATGATGGTGTTATACAAGCTACATCCATGTAGGTTCTGTCATTTCATTATTTACATTTATCAATTTCTCAATATCTTTGACATAAACCTGCAACTAATCTAGCTTTTACTATTTAAGAGTATGCAGATAGATTATTTTGGACTTAAGATATGGATACCCCAAATGAAATTCACAGTTTGATGTTCTTCAAATCATTATAATGAAAACTGTAATGAAAGATTATTTGAGTGCAAATCTGAGTTTGATATACCAGTTAAGTAAACCAGCTAGCACATTCATGTGCAATGACTGATTTTCCTGTAATTATTTATCAATATTTTTTTGCATACTAATTTAGCTTTTACAATTTACATGTTGAAATATTGAACCAAGGTTGAGTAGAAGCTAGCTAGCACATTGTTCTACTTCTGTTTTGTTATACTAGTACTAGTATATTGTTAACTTCATTTGACTTTATAGTATATAGGTGATTATACATTACCAAGTCTTGGAGGTTCTGTAGCTACCTACTATATCTAAGGAAAAATAATTGCAGTGATTTCAGTAAATCTAAGAACTAATATCAACAAACACTGAGTTGATACCATGCAGAGTAAAATTTCCACAATTTTCAAAATGTACAAGTTTTAACTTCTTTATACCCATAAGTTTTTATTTATTTGGCAGCTCTGTCTCACCATGCTACAGGTTCATATTCTTTGCTTTGATCTTTAATCTTTGCATATGTGATGTTAATAGTGTGCCATAAGTCCTAAAAGGTTTGTTTTTACAGCACATGCTTGAAATTTTCTAAAGCGCATAGGTTATTACGCATCGTTGTAGGAATTTTATCTTGATTGCCAAGTTTACCTGACCTAATTTTCGCTTCTTGCATTTTGTCTGAACATCTCCATGCATAGGGCACAAGGTGCGGAGCATTTTATGCTCTTCTTTTCCTTCTAAAAGATTTTATGGTTTACATGAAGGTTTTCTCAGTTGATAGAAATCCAATTTACATTATCCCTGAAAAGTGAGTGAGTGAGTGAGCATGCGCAAGCGTGTGCGCGCGTGCGTGCACGCGTGCGCGTGCATGCGTATGCGCGTGCGCGACTGAGTGAGTGAGAGTGCGTGCATGTGTGCGTGTGAGTGTGCATGTTTGTGTGCGTGGCAATGTGGAATAACATCTTATTAGGCTTTTTTCTGTTTAATCAGGAACTTGACCATATCGTAACTTCTTAATGGATTTTAGTACTAACTAGAATATTGGAATTGTCATGCCACTTGGAAATAACTGCTCTCATGACAATTGTATTGACTAAGTTATATCTTGTCTTTTAAAAAGCTATATAAACCTTTGCAGTTTAAGTATTTGGCACAATTTGAATATTTATTAGGATTAAACATACATATGGCAGGCAAGACTTTTCCGATAGTGTTTATAATATGTAGATTTCAATTATTTTGAGCTCTAGAATTGAAAATCATAGTCCATTTCTAGTAGAAACTGAGGAGCATTTCACAGGTCAATCAAATTATATTCAATGTGATATTCTTGTTGGGCTGTTTCCAAGTGCAAGTTTCGTGTTTGTTGGCACAGCAAATGCTAGCTTTCTTGATGAATCATAGTGGCAAGGCCCCAGAGGTGTTGCAGTTGTACACTAACACTATTCCAATTCCAAGGAAGGGGCCAACAATCAGTCCAATGATTTTTATGACACGGAGGCATTAATGAAGCAAGCAAGAGCTAACAGGTTTGCCAGGAGGGATTACAAATCCATGGTTCTTTTGCTTCCTTTAGTTGATATTCTGGCTGTTCTTCTCTTCAATTTTTACTCTGCTCAGGCGTCTATTGGATCTGAACACTTCTCTGTTTCTGGGAATAACTTTTTGGCTTTCTAAATCCAACTGCAAGTTAGAATTTAACTTGAACTGATTTTGATTGTAAATAATAGATTGTTAACTATTGAGCTTATCAGATAACAGTTAGTCAAAAGCTGTCTATATTCTCTTTTTTACTTTTGCACATTTACTGGCATCGGAGATATTAGGATTTGGGTAAACTAAAGAAACATATGAAGCACAAATGGTTTGATTATGGAGTTTATGGATGAAGTTGTATCCTATATCCGTGTTTGTTCCTTTTAGTAAATAACTGATATATGTGGCCATGCAAAAATCTTCAACCAACAACCGTTGAGGGATTTGAGTTCTGTTATGTGTTGCGTTTCAAGTGTCCTTGTTCCCAATGTGTAGGTGTATACTATTTCCTGGAGCAGGGACAACAACACTTGTTTCTCTTGGCATTACTAGAGCAGCACGGAGCCAAAGAACAGAAAAACTGTATTGGCGGCTGTCTAGCTAGGCCAAGAAAGATATTAAAGTCTCTTCCAAAGCATCCAATCTTTCCAACCCGTCACTTGATTAATTGTTATTATCAAGTTCTTTATTCCAATTATAACATGTTTGGCGTTAAGTTTCTGTCTTTTAATGATTTATATGAATTTTACTTGCAGGGAGCAGAACCACTCTCCTGATGGTTGGGGTTTTGGACATCTGTAGGATGGGGAAATTCAAGGGGTATAACTTAGTTCTTATAAATATGCGCGGAGGTGGTATTAATTCTTACGTTTAAAGAATTTTGCTGGTCCTGATTTTCTCTTGGGTTGCCCCCATTTTCTTTTGTATCTTAGTTAATGGATTAAGAGACGAATCAATGATTTAATCAGGTTTGATAATTTTATGTATCTATGTATCTATACCTTGATGTTATCCAATCAGAATTATTTAGTTCTTAGCACATCTAATCCATGTATAGGATTTTTTTTTTTGGCCAGAATAATCCATGTAAAGGATCAATTTATGTAAAGGATGCATCATTTTCCAATACAAGTGCTGAAATTAATTATTTTTTAAAAAACAAAGGTGTGGTCTGCATTTGGTCTTTTAATTTGAAAAAAATAAAAAATAAAATAAAAAATATTGAGTTGACTGAAATAAAGACGATTAAGTTACAATAACAATTCATCCTTTCCCATAGTCAATGAATGCATACTTTTGCCTTGGTTTTTTTTTTTTTTTAAAAATATTTCTTTACTTTTTAACTCTTCAAAATTTAGAAAATAAAATAGAATAGATTATGCTGATCGAATTGGCTCAAATGAGAACACTCAAGGAATTCTGCTAATAAATTTAGAACCTTATTCAGCTTAAATTGTTTGGATCAACGCACAGGTGGGCTGAACACAATTTATGCCATTTCACAATAGTTTGGAATTCTTATATTAAAAGAAAACTAAAATACAAAAAAGTCTTCTAAATTTTGGGTCAATTACATATCACCCCCTTAATCTTTAGAAGTTTAAATTAAGAACCATGATATCTTATGTTAAAACTATAAACTCTCCTGACATTAAAATTGTCATTATCTTTAACGGTATTTTTCATCTCATAATTTTTTTAATATTTTTTGTTATATACCATATCAATTTTAAAACAAATAATATTTAATACTTTCCATGTAATTTAAAATCTTGTTAAATAGATAGATTAACCAACAACAAAAAAGAAGATCGAGCCCCTGAGTTGCCTAACCAAATCCACTAAAGTTATATATATCGCTCATTAATTTGAAACCCTCAGTATAGTGGAAGGGGCTAATCCCTTACAATGTAACGAACCAAGATTCGAATCCCCATTAGGAGAGGTGCTCATATTTAGTATCTGATAGTGCTTCGAAAAGGATTGCCTCCAATAGAAGAATACCTATACTTTAGCAAAAAAAAAAAAAATTGAAACCCTCTCAAAAAGGCCTCTGTATGTTCGGTCCAAGGCATTGGTGGGCTGCAAATAAGGTAACACTTTTTATAGTAAAGAGGTTGGAATTTAAAATAAAAAAAGATAGAGTTACTTTAAAAGGACAAAATAGAATTAAGGAAAAATTAATCTTTGAGTCCTTCAACTCTCAACTTGTTTATAACTAAGTCCCTCGTTGATATGACTTGATTCTTAAACTTTTGACTCACTTGTAACTCAGTTTTTTTTTTTTTTTTCAGTTTTTATATTATGATCCTTGAGTCATCATACATGGCAAAAATAACTAATAATACACTTATAACTATTTCCACTCAGCTCCACCTGTTTTATTAAAAAAAATAAGATAAAGTAAACAAAAGAACAAGCTACATACTACGATGATCATCCTTCCCACCGATATTCACAGGCTTGTTGGCGTCCTTGGTTTCTGAGGTTAACTATGGTGTGTTAAGGTTTTGGAGATTTGTCGGAATGTATGCCCAAAGGGTTATACTAATTTTTAGGTCTAAAGGGTGGTCTGAGTCAAGATTTTCTTTTGGTTTACCCTAATTTTCTTTTAAACTTAGTTGTTAATCGACTAAAAGATAAATCAATGATTTAATTGGGTTTGATCATTCTTTATCCATATTCACGTTGCAAAACTAGATTTGTTTATTTATTTAGACATTCTATATTGTCTACTCAATTTTGTCAATGGATGCATCCTTCGACTATGGTTTTCAATTTTTGTTTTCAAAATTTATTTTCTCATTTATTATTGTTACTTAATCTCAAATGTGTGCTTGACAAGGAATTTGACCATAAATTCGAATTTTTTTAATAAATTAATTAAAGTTATAATTAGGTAGGTTTTAGTGAGAAATAAATTTCAAAAGGGAATTTGACTCAAAGAATGACTGATAAATGAATCTGTGTCTCGGTAGGAACCATAGACAATATTCATTTAGTCAACAATTCAAAGACCCAAGTGAATTTCACTTCTTCGCCAGCATTTCACATTCGCACCCCTCTTATATGGGAAAATTATTCATAAGTTCCATGTAAATATATATATAAAGATATTCCAAAAAATTTTATTTAGTTCAATTTGTATATTTATAAGTCAAATACTCTAGCTCCAATAACTCAAATTGGAATTTGTTCATCGTATAGCCACTACAACCCATAACACCCATAATGAACTTCAAAGAACAAGTGTTTATAAACGCACCCAATGGCAAGATTATAACCTTCAACCGCAAAATATCACATTCATGAGCTAGGGTTTTAGAAATCAACCATAAATCATCAATTTGAACTATGGAATTGGGAGAGATAGAGGAGGAGAGTTGATTGGAGTAGCTTGCCAACAAGATTGGAGTAAGATTGTGAAGTAATTGGGTGCTTTTATAAGCTTCCTCAAGGGTCGTACTGTAACTTAAAAAACCTTCTCAAAAATTGGAGTAAACTTAAAGCGTTACATGATGATGATGGCACTTTTTACTACCATTTTCAAATCCAGCTAAGCTTCTCTGCTATGCCTGTGTGGCTAGCATCTTCACTGTTTTACTAATGCGTTGGGGTTTTGGAGATCTGTAGGATAATATGTCCAAGAGTTATACTAATTTTGAGGTCTAAAGAATGTTCTAAGTCATGATTGTCTTTTGGTTTGCTCTCATTTTCCTTTTAACTTGGTTGTTGATGGACTAAAAGATGAATTAATGATTTTAGGTTGGTTTTGATAATTCTTTATCCATGTCCGTGTTCATGTCCAAGTCTAGTTGGTTTTTATTTCAATTGGGAAAAAATCCATGTTCATGTTGCAAAATCAGATTTGTTTAGTTCTTCGTACATTATGATCTTTGTATACTTTAATTTAGTCAATGAATGCATCCTTTGCCCATGGTTATCATTTTCTTTCCTTTTTTCTTTTAACTCTCTTCCTCTTCTAAATTTGGAAAATTAAATAGAATAGATTGAGCTTATAGAGTTGACCGAACTGAGCCCACAAACATGATGAACTCTGCTAATAAATTCAGGGCCTGTTTGGATAGTAGGCCAAACCATGGTTTGGGAAAAAAATCACCCAAACAGACACAAATTATCTGAAATCATGGTTTTGGATAGAGCCGGGAATCAGGGCCGGCCCGGCCCTCCAGGGCTGGCCCTTCAGGGCTGGCGGGCTTAAAAGGGCCGGTCCTCCAGGGCTGAAATTTTAAAAATACCCCAATTTGCTAAGCCCGGCCCTTAAGCTACAGGGCCAGGGCCGACCCGTGGGCTTTTGGCCCGTTTAAGGAAAAATACTATTTTTTTATATTTATCAAATTTTTTTATAAAAATATAAAAATAAACCAATAAAATTATTAATAAAAGACATAAATATGAATAAAATTAAGTCACAAATATAAAATATCATCATATATAAATATTCATCAACATCTAAGAACATCTAAAACATTTATTAACAAGATAACAACATCTAAAAGTTTTATCTATAATACAATTGTGCAATAAATAAACACTATCATTAATCTTTTGAAACTTCATCATCACTATAATTAATTACTTTTCTTCATAAGTATGCTTTTCTTTCGTAACAAAAATATCAAGTTTTTCTTCTTTATAAGAATTTTATTTTTGAATTTTGCAATCTAACTATTATTTTACTTTAATGTGAGAAACATTGTTGTTGAAACTCATGAATTTCTAATTCAAATTATAGAATCACAAGTTATATAAGCATAAAAATATTCTATTATCAAATATATATATATAGTTTAAAAATATCAACGCATATAATATAAATCAAATCATTATTAAAGTCCAAATTAACCGATTTTTTAAAAATTTAATTAGATAAATTATTGTCTAAAACTAAATTTAATTTTAAAATGATAATAATAACTAAATATTTGAAATATTATTAACAATGTAAAAAATTAATAACATTAATATTATATAAAAAAATTTAAAAAATAAAAAAAATTATAAAAGGGCTTAAAAGGGCCGGCCCGCGGCCCTCCAGGGCCGGCCCTTTTAAGCCCTCAGCCCTCCAGGGCCAGCCCTCCAGGGCTTATTTCTCATTTTAAGAGAAAAATATCAAGCCCGGCCCTTGTAATTTCAGGGCCTAAACGGACCGGCCCGATGGGCTCGGTCCGTTTTCCCGGCTCTAGTTTTGGAAGGTTTCGGGAGAAGTAAATCCATTCTGCTTCTGGCTGAAATTGGAGAGTATGATTGTGTCTATTAAAGTAAATCTCAACAATAATATGACTTTAACACCCCTTAATTAATTTTTTATAAACATATTTAATCTTATATCTTATAAATAAATATACACATATTAATTATTTATTAATTACATTATCTTATGTATTATTAATTAAGTTGGGAAAAAATATATTATTAATAATTTTATTCCTTCAAATTAAAATATATCATACAATCTATGTTTTATGTAATTATCATATTAACTTATGCTTTTTTTAATAATTTGTACATATAAAAAGTGCTTCTGATAACAACTATCCAAACACTCTCACTTCTCAAAATCATTTTTTCACAAAATCTATTCTCACAAAATCTATTTTTCTTAAAATATATTTCTAGAAGCTATTCTTCAAACCATTGTTTGGTTTCATCCAAACACCCCCTTAGAACCTTTTTGGAAACCCAAAAGAATGATTTAGCCCTTCACTGTTTGGGTCAACACATTGGTAGGCTGAACGTAATTAATTTCACTTTTAATTTTCGACAGAACATTAAATATGATTGTTTTTAATAATAAGATATTTGTGCTTATAAAAAAAATAGTTAATCCCACTTTATGAGAGTTTGGAGTTTTTTTCAAGAGCAATTGATCATAAATTCCAAAAAAAAAAAAGATTATATATAATTAATTTCATCGATGAATTTGTTGAATGAAGATTATTTCTCCCAAAAAATTTGTTATGCAACGCATAATATTTTATTTCGTTGGGAAAAAGCATAATATTTTGTTTTAATCAAGTTTATTGGCAAAATTTTAGAATCTTCTTTTCATTTATCATT